TACTGTCTTCCCTAGAGACCAGGCCACCCTGGGAAGCTGCTCTTCCTGTGTCCTCCAACTGAGAACTGCCCAGTGGGAGGGTGGCCACAGCAGTGCTCTGCACTCTCCGTGACTGCCAGGCCCTGGGAGGGGAGGCCATGGGGTTTGTAATGAGCACATGGGGCTGACACCATGTCAATCCCACACAGAGCAGCAGAGATGTGGTGACACAGAAACGGGCAATGCCTGCTCTGTGCACAACGGGCTTGTGCTGAAATATAAGCCTGTTTGTCACCAAGCCTCAGGTCGAAGGGAGACATGGGGGACAGAGGGGCGTTACATGACAGCACAGGCACTCTCTGCCAGTTCTGAAACTCCACTTATTCTGCTGGGCCCTGGTCTAGCCTCTCGACCACAAAATAGAAACGAAACCCGCCTTGAGAGTTTGATCTAGCCACTCAGGGTCACTATCGCCAGTGACAGGGCACGGGTGAATGGGGTGACAGGCCTCTGTTTTCAGAGTCCCAGGAGCTGGAAAGCTGAGACCCAGGTGTCCACAGACTCCAGCCTGGTGAGACTCCAGACTCTGCCTGACTTGTGGACAGCCAGTCCTCAAATGAGAGCTCGTAGCTCCTGAAAGTGGTGTCTTTTATATAGGCACTAATCCCACCACAACCCTCCCCTCACGACCTTATCTACCTGATTCCTCTCAACAGTCCCTCCTATCAACCCACTGATGGGCAGAGCTCCAGTGTTTAGAGTTGGGAGACACAGATGGTCTGTAACCACTGAACATTGACGGAGTCCCTCAAAACCTGCTGATGAGATGCGGCATCCTGATTCAAACACACACACACACCCCTGTTGTAGAGACACCTGCAAACACTCACAGCAGCTAAACCATGGGAACAGCGCTTGCAGCCACCATCCAGTGACCAGGTAAACACATGGTGGGATATTTCTCAGCCTTTTTTTAATTTAAAATTTTAAAATTATTTTATGTGTATAAGTGTATTGCTTCCTGTAAGTGCAGACATGTTGTGCAATGCCCATGGAGGTTTTTTTTTAATTTAAAATTTTAAAATTATTTTATGTGTATAAGTGTATTGCTTTCATATGTGTAAGTGCAGACATGTTGTGCAATGCCCATGGAGGTCAGAAGAGGGCTTCGGATTCCCCTGGAACTGGAATTATGCACAGTTGTTAGCCACCATGTGGGTGCTGGGTATCGAACCCCAGTCCTCTTGCAAGAACAGCCAGTGCTTTTAACCGCTGGGCCATCTCTCCAGCCAGATTTCTCAGTCTTTTTAAGGAAGGACGTCTTGTTATCAGCTCACCGTGGATGGAATTGGCAGACATACGAATGAAATACTCCTCAACTTCCCAAGTTACTCCTGTAGGAGAAAAGGGGACTCGGAGACCAGGACGGCCTCGTTTCACCCTCACTGAGATGGTCCCCAAAGGGCAATGGGTGTGCAGCCTACGGTTTCCAGCATACCCTCAGAGTCCTGATCCCTCAGCCATCCCGTGTCTGTGAGACCACTGCTCCGGGAGTCCCGGACCGAATGTAAAAAGCCAGTGGGGCTCCAGCATTTACCTCTCTCTGCTTCCCAGCTGCAGACGTAATAATACGAGGTGCTGCCTCACGCTCCAGGTGCCACGCCTTCCCCACCATGATGGACGGCACCCGCGGACTGTGAGCTAGAACAAACCCTTCCCCCTTAAGTTGCTTTCATCTCAGCAACAAGGAACTCATCCAGGTCCTCAGCCCCTCTCACTCTCTCCGTCTATACCGAGGTCTGGCCCCATCCAGCTGCGGAACGGCCAGTCCTATCCAAATAGCTCTGCAGAGAGGTGACGTGGCCTTGAGAGGGCGGGGTGAGGAGGAGGGAGGGTGCTCACCATCAAAGGTAAGGCTGTTGCTCTGCAGAGGGGGTGAACTGGGAGGGGCCCATTGGGGTAAGCATGGAGAAGTGAGGCCCAGGCGGACTGACACATGCCTCTGAGCAACACGTCCCATCCATCGTCCGATACATGCATTCTTAGAAGGGGCAGCAAAAGTTTCATCTCCAGAGTGCTGACATGTGAACCTTAATGTTGGAACCTTCTGGAAACGTGTCTGTTCCTAAATATGACTGAATGGTGAATTTCAGGAGCTGCCATGGTACAGGAAAGCAGATTTTTTTTTTTTTTAAGAGAAGACCTTGCAGCCAGCACCTTTCAAAGTTAAGCTTGGTTCCACCTTTGAATACATTGGCCACAGGCAAAGCAGCTCAGCTGAACTTCTCCCCAGGGACGGTGTGTGGGAACCAGCTCATTACTGCTAGCTCGAGCCTCTCAAACAGGTCAAGGCGCCTGACCAAGGATAGCCCTCAAAATGAGAGTTCTGTTTGCTCAAAGCGAGAATATTTGAGACCAGAGCAGGTGGATGCCTGCTGCGCTCCCTTCCACGTGTACAAGGGAGCCTTGCCAAGGTATGAAGGACATCAGGGACGGTAGGGACTAGGCAGGACCAGTAGAGCCTGCTGCAGCGGAAGGAGCTAACTCTACTCTCCTGCCCAGCTTTCTGGTCTGTGTGCACTCAAGAGACCCCAGGAGAAGGTCATGCTGGAGCTTGCCAGGTCCCCTTAGAGAGACAGAGCATACTGGTTCACCATGGGGCCACAAGGGCTCGACTTCACTGACCACTGACCCAAAGTCCCCTTCTGTGGCCACTGGAACCCAGGAGATGAGTCCAGCCAGCCCCACTCTCCCCCACCATTAGGCATAGATTCGAGTCTAAGGACGGCTACTGGGATTTCCAGTTTCTGTGTCAGAACACGGAATTGGACCAGGGACACGTATATAGAGGTTGAAACAGTTTATTAACAGAGAAGTTCTGAGCAAGGACATAGGCTGGAGAGGTAGGAAAGAGGGTCAGAAGCCTGGTGTTGCCCGTGCAGGGCAGATGGAGGGACTCGTGGGGAGGGTGGTTTGCAGTCTTTTTCTCTGTCATTGATGTCTTTAGTCTTGACGCCTCTCATCCTACTCTCCAGCTACACACCCTCTAGGATCCCAGAGCCCTTGGGCAGGGTCAGGGAGAAATGGCTTAGCTGGTAAAGTACTTGCCTTGTAAGCATAAGGGCCCGAGTTTGAGCCCAAGAAACTACATAGAAAAGCTGTGTGGGGACTGGAGAAGCGGTTCAGTAGCTGAGCGCTCATAGTGCTGCTGCAGAGGATCCCGATTCCCAGCATGCACGTTGGGTGACTCGCAGTTACCTTGGGGTCCGGGTTGATCTGATGCCTCTGACTTCCGTGGGCACCTGCACTGTATGTGCATTTGAGCCCAAGAAACTACATAGAAAAGCTGTGTGGGGACTGGAGAAGCGGCTCAGTAGCTGAGCGCTCATAGTGCTGTTGCAGAGGATCCCGATTCCCAGCATGCACGTTGGGTGACTCGCAGTTCCCTTGGGGTCCAGGTTGATCTGATGCCTCTGACTTCCGTGGGCACCTGCACTGTATGTGCGCACAAATACACATAATTGAAAATAAATCTTACACAAAAGGCGGCTCCGGTGGTCCTCCCTTGAAATCCCACCTCTGGGGAGGCACAGGCATCAGGATCCCTGGCGCTTGCTGGTCAGCCAGTCTCACCTAATTGGTGTGCTCGGGGTTATGTTTGCTTTGTCCCAAAAGACAAGGTGGCAAACACATTCTCTTACTACTGATCTTAATACCATGAGACATAAATAACAATAAATTTAAAAAGATCGAGGTGGACAGTATCTGAGGAATAACATGTGAGGTTGTCTTCTGGCTTCCATGTGCACACACATGCACACACACGCACACGTGCACACACACATGTACCCATAGGGTGCCTCTGGGTTTGTATACATCTTCCTTGTGGTTGGAGAGCAAATGCCTCTTGTCTGTCCAGGATGAAATGAGATGAAGGATGCAAGAGGGCCGCTGTGAGCTGTAAAGCACCACACAAAAGCTAATGTTATCATTGCTGTGATTATGGTTACTCTGAGTGTGCAAAAATGACAGCCGGCCGGCCAGGAGGGTCTAACCCGCCAAGAAACCTCTATCTCGGCAGAAAAAGGCTTTGGAACGTAAGGAGGAAAGACGCTTACGGCCTAAGGCATTCTGTTTTCATTGCAAATGCCTCTTGTCTGTCCAGGATGAAATGAGATGAAGGATGCAAGAGGGCCACTGTGAGCTGTAAAGCACCACACAAAAGCTAATATTATCATTGCTATGATTATGGTTACTCTAAGTGTGCAAAAATGACAGCCGGCCGGCCAGGAGGGTCTAACCCGCCAAGAAACCTCTATCTTGGCAGAAAAAGGCTTTGGAACATAAGGAGGAAAGACGCTTACGGCCTAAGGCATTCTGTTTTCATTGTCTGTGGTGCCAGTGCACTGGGATAAAGCCTGACTTCCCTCAAAGGGAGCAGAGGGAGTCATCTGCGTTTCTGCACCCCATTCTGCCTCCACCAAACCCAGGACTTCAGAGATAACCTTGCAGGAGCTGACTGAGAAAAGGCGTTCTGAAAGTTCTGGCCCAACAGGCAGCTGTAAGATTGCAGGGGTCGGGGGTGGGCAGCTGCAGGGATGGGGCAGCGGCCTGGTTAGGCTGTGTGACTGAGCCGGGTCACTCCTGGGCACCAGGCAATGGAGGGGAGGCTGTGGCTCTGCTTTCCTGGCTGTATGTGCAGCCTAATCCCACTGCCTGGCACGGGGTAGATCCCAGTACAGCCACAGAAGCACACAAAGTGATATCTGAGAAGCAGGCAGCGGCCCTCAAGAAGGCGTCTGCAGCCATAAGACATGCCTTTGGCCCAAGGTGACTGTTCATGGAGTCACCCCCCCTCCAAGGACCCAAGAGTGACGAGCCTATGATGCATGAATCAGGTGGCTGCCACACTGTTCCATTATCCACAGTTCTCATTCGGAAAGCCTGGGCCTGGCTTCCTGTCCTGGAGCTCCGTCTGTCCCTCTTTCCATGTTCATAGGCAATTACTGATCTGCCCCAGCTTCTAAGGGATGTGGGAAGCATCTGTGGTCCCCATGGTGAAAGGGTGAGTCCAGTCAGACTGGCCCTGGGCAGTAAGGATGCGGGAGTAGACTGGCAATCACCTGCCCAGCTCCTGTGGTCCACTGGAAACCCACTGAAGTCTTCCAGCTCAGTGACTGTGGTTGCAGCCTCCATTGTCACATGGTCTCCTCATCTCCTTGTGTCATGGCTTCCTCTGTCTCCCGTGATGACGTTGGGTCTTCCCAAGTGACCCAGCTGAACTCCATAATCCTGTGGACCTCACTTCAACAATCATACCTGCTAGGGATGGGGAGACGGCTCAGTGGTTAAGGGCACCGATTGCTCTTGCAGAGGACGTGGGTTTGATTCCCAGCACCCGCATGGCGGCTAACAACCATCCAGAACTCCAGTTTGGGGGGATCTGATGCCCTCTTCTGACCTCCTCCAGTATTGAATGACACAGGTGCTCTTATATACACGCAGGCAATACATGCATACACATAAAAATAAAAATAATAAAATATTAAGTAATAATAATAAAAGCACACCTGCTGAGACCCTCCTCCCAGACTAGATCAAGCTGGAAGTTTCTGGCAGGTGGTCCTATGCATCTAAGGTCATAACTGTACTGACCACAGGCATGTGAGTAGCCCTAGGCTGCAGGGGCCCTGTGATGACAGACCAGGGAAGGCTCAGAACTGCAATGTCACCGGGGCCAAGCGCACAGTTCTCTGCAGTATTTTTCTGCTTAACTGATTTGAAGTGGATTTGGTAGGGACATCCCAGGTAATAAATGGATTTAATAATACCTCCCCAGATTGGGAGTTCTCCAGTTTTCAGGGCCTGTGTGAATCTGTTATCTTATAAGTTCTGCACAAGGGGACTGTGATAGCCAGTGACCCAGTGTTGGGTGAAGACCCTGAAGTGTGAGTGGCCACGTGGATGGGGTGAGGATGCTCTGCTGGCACCTGGCAACCTGCCTGGCAGGTGGGAATCTTCCCTGTCTGGCTGCTCACACTGAGCTCCATAGCTTAAAGGAAGCAACTGATGCTTTACCCACAGCCACCTGCGTGGGGAGTGGACAGATCTCCAATTAACAAAGCTTTCATCTCTACCCCGGAGGCCTAGAATGTGGACAGCAACTCTCCTGGGGACATCTCTCCAATGTCCTTGGTGGAGCAGAGGCAGAGGCCAGTGGAACCATCATCCTAAGCTCAGGCTATTGGAGTGGCTGAGTCCCCTGCCCCTCACCCACCATCCCCACCCCACCTTCCCCAGTCTACCCTCCCTCACCTGCCTTTTTAATCAGCCCCCACGCACTTGGGCCAGGCCAATGCCACAGATGTCCAGGTATGCCGATCCCCACATGAACTACTCGTGGGTAGTCAGGCCACCTTCCTGTATCTGCTCCCTGGTCTATTTAGGGAGAGAAGTGATCTTTGTTTCTGTACTGCAAGCAAGAGATGCTAATGGGCTTTTGACAGGTCAGGGCTGATGGGGCCGTGCCACTAGAGGCTGTGAGTGAGCCCCAGCTGAGGGTCAGAAAACACAGCCGAGGACAGGGTCATTTTAAAGTGCTGTCGTCAAGCCTTCCCCCACAGACAGGCTATAAAGATGGAGAAAATCCCGGGGACGTGAGGAGGGAAAGGAGACTGCCACCCAGTCTGGTTGAAGTTCTTTGCCAGCTGAGAGAGTCAAGAATTCCAGCACCGTTAACGTTTGCTGTTAAGGTTGCCTATGTAAAGGAAATACTATTTTAATAGAGAACTTATACTTCAGACCCAAATGTACATGACCTTCAAGTGTGACCTTTCCCCCTTCCCAGATGTAAACCTGGGAATCTCACAAGGGAGACTGTGAACTTTGTTTATAGTAAAAGATGTGTCTTAAGCCCCTGTAACCCACAATTCTTACCTATCCTTGAAGTCCTATCCAAGACACCCCAGAAAAAACCTTACGATGTCATTTACTGAAAAAAAAAAAAAGAGAAAAACATTTCTTAGCAATTCTTTGAGCAAAGGACCACAGAAGTGACAGATTCGTACATACGGTGACTGCTAAACACTTCAATGCGACACTCTTTCAAGAGGCCCAGGCCTACACTTGAAGATGCGTACCATCCTTTTTCTAAATGCCTCCATTAGCCCCCGTGCTTAAATCTATGTTAAAATCTTTTCTTAATAAGCTCCAACATTGCTTCATACTGAATTGCCCTGAAAAGCCTTTTTTGGGTACAGTCAATAACCCAGCTTTATCTGAGTAGAGATCTCTCAGAACTCCTCAGGTTCATGTACATACCAGCCTACATGTACACAACAGGCTACATGCACACACAACACACAGACACACAGACACACAGACACACACACACACACACACACACATACACACTGTGATCTGAAATTCTACACAGAAGCACCCTCATATAAGGATAAATAGGGAGATAGACGTAAGACACACACACACACACACACACACACACACACACACACACGCTGTGATCTGAAATTCCACTCTTTTTATCTTGAGGTACTGATGGTTTGAGTGTCTCTGCGTGTATGCACATGCAGGTGGATGTGCCGTGTGGTATCTCCTCTACCAGACTGAAAAAAAAAACCAGATTTATTGAAATATATTCACATGTCATCCAATTGCCCATTACATCCTGCACTTCAGTGGCTTTTAGTGCATTAATGGATAAGTGCAGTGCTGTCGTCAGTCTCAGACCATCCCCATCACCTCGCTGGCAACCCATCCCCATCACTACAGCCCCCAGCCAGCCCCTTCAGGCTCGACGTCTCCACAGACCTTCCCATTGTAGACACGGATGGAATTACAATACATGGCTTCTGTGTCTGCTGGTGGCAGATGTGAGCACGTTCCTTCTTAGAGCAGAATAATGTCTTACCCTGCGTCTGCCTGTTGTACAAGACTGTCCTCTGAGTCAGACAGGCACCATCTTCCTGTACTCAGCTGTGCCCACTTCCCAAAGATCATCACAGCTGGTTTGGTTGACTGTTGAGGTCTCTACGTAGGAGAGGCAGGGACAGTCACAGGACCCTCACCTGAGTATCCAGCCACATGTCCCAACCTGCAGAGGGTCTAATAGCAGATGACCTGGGGAAGGGTAAGGTACACAGGTTGGGAAGACTAAGGGAGAGGGCTTCATTTATGCAGCTATGGGGAAGCCCTCATCCATGCTTGGGTGAAGACTTTCTGGTACGGCCTTAGCAGGGAGCACCCACATTCCTGTAAGTAAACCCTCACCCATTGTGCTGTAAGTCTGATAAATTCCTTGGTTCCTTGGAGTGCATTTTGGTGGAACTGCACCTTGGGTTGTTGGGAACAAGTGAGCACAGGTGGGGGAAGGAATTTTAACAACACAGCCCCAAGTTTGTCTGTTTATCCATTCACAGGGACAAGCACTTACTTCAACTTGGTTTATTTTTAATTTTGTGAGTGTGTACCTGTGTGTGTGAAGGTGAAGGGCAACCTCAGGTGCCATCCTTAGGAAGGATGGCCACCTCCTTCAACACAGCACCTCACCCTGAACCTGGCTCTTGGTGGGTAGGCTAGGCTCCTCAGCCAACGAGCTGGAGGACCCACCTGGCTTTACCTCTCCAGCACTGGGATTCCAAATGCATGTCTCCATACCTAGATTTTTGAATGGGTTCTGGACTGAAACTCAGATCCTCAGGCTTTCAAAGCAAGTACTTTACAAATTGAACTGCCACTCAGTCCTTCCTTCCTTCCTTCCTTCCTTCCATCCGTCTGTCTGTCTGTCTGTCTGAATGTCTGTCTGTCTGTCTGAACTGTCTGTCTGTCTGAATGTCTATCTATTCATCTATCTATCATCTATCCATCCATCCATTCATCCAGGCATGCATCCATGCATCCATGCATCCATCCATGCATGCACACACCCATGCATCCATCCATGCATCCATCCATGCATCCATCCATGCATGTATCCATCTATCCATCCATCCATCCATGCATCCATGCATTCATGCATCCACATATCCATGCATCCATCCATGCATGTATCCATCTATCCATCCATCCATCCATCCATGCATCCATCCATCCATGCATCCATCCATTCATCCACTCATGCACACATCCATCTGTCCATCCATGCATCCATCCATGCATCCATCTGTCCATCCATGCATCCAGCCAAGCATCCATCCATGCATCCATCTGTCATCTGTTTATTTAAAGAAGGATCTGACTGTGTTGCCCAGGGCTGGTCTTGATCTTAAGATCCTCCTGTCTCATCCTCTCCAGTGCTGGGACTGCAAGTATGGACCACCATGCTTGGCTCAAAAACTCCCTCCTTGACTAAATTCTATCCAGAATCCTCTGATCCCCCTTCTCCACTGTGCCTTGACCTTGGCCTGTTGCTCTGCCCTTGACTGCCAAGACAAAAATCCTGCCGACCTGATCTATGCAGAAGTTATTACTTGCCCCTCGCCGTGGAGACCTATGTGTTTGGCTAGCCCTTGGCAGGAATCCCCCTATCCTGGACCTCTGACCACATTCAAACCGCCCCACCACGAGCCCCTCACTGTTCAGTTGATGAACCCTAAGCTGTCTTGGCTATATTCAGGTTGAACTTAGCTCTATGCTAGTCTCCCATCTCCCCACAAGAGTTCCAGAAAATCTGTCTTGCTGGTCTGGGGAGATAGCCCAGTCTGTAAAGCTCTTGTCTTACAAGCATGAGGACCTGAGTTCAATTCCCAGATGCCACATAAGAAGCCAGGTGTAGTATCTCATATCTCATGGTTGCAAACTCAGTGACAGTGACCTGGGAGGTGGAGACAGGCAGATCCTTGAAGGCTTGTAGGCAAGCCTAGCCTCCTTGGAGAGGTTCCAGCCAATGAGAGACCCTGAATCAAACACGGGATGACACTGAGGTCATCCTCTGACCTTTGCACCTACCTGCACATGCATGCACCCACTTAACCATACACACACACACACACACACACACACACACACACACACACAGTCTTGCTGTTTTAACAAGTGTCACTTGCAACACACACACACACACACACACACACACACACACACACACACGTCTTGCTGTTTTAACAAGTGTCACTTGCATGGGCCTCTGGGAGATTGCTCCCTTTGGTACTTAGGAATCCTGTTGCTGTGAACACACCCAGGGGTGTCTATGTGGACCAGTGGTTTGATTTTGTTTCTCTTGGGCAGGTGTAAGGAATAGAACTACTAAAGTTCAAGTTTAACTGGTGTCCTATGTGCTGATTAGCCTTGGCCCCAGCCCAGGCAGAAATCCATGCAGTGGGGTCCTCCCTCAGGACTGGAAGAATTCTCTTTGCAGGAAAACAGATGCAGGGCAGGGACAGACCCCTTGGCAGCCAGCCCACAGACTGACTCTGTACTGTCTGTACAGCCACTGTGTCCCCTGTCACATCCACAGGCAGGAGAGGAAGTGCCACTCAGAATGTCCCTAGGGCTTCACACACAAGACTGGTAAGCTGGTGTAATGAACATTATATTGGAGACTTGTCACCTGCTCTGTGAGTTCACTGAGGTGCTGATTCTGGAAGTGAGGTTGCCTCCCCCGCTCTCTTGGCAGACCCAGGTAGGTTTGTGTCAAGTGCTCTCCAAGACCTCCTGTCCAGGGATGGGCCGGCTGGCCCTGAACTCAGTGACAGGGAGGAGAAACTAACCAAACAGCCCAAGAAGAGTAAAAGCACTGTCCTTGAGAACAGCTGGAAGTAAACCGTTTCCACCAGAGGTGACCGTTGTTTGTCCCGTGATATAAAAGCACCGAGAATGGGAAAGAGGCCAGAAGCTCAGCCATGGACAGAGAGCTCGACCAGGAGCTCCGGCTGCCTGCCTGGAAGTAAACCGTTTCCACCAGAGGTGACCGTTGTTTGTCCCGTGATATAAAAGCACCGAGAATGGGAAAGAGGCCAGAAGCTCAGCCATGGACAGAGAGCTCGACCAGGAGCTCCGGCTGCCTGCCTCAGCTGCCCCAGTCAGTTTCTGCTGGATGTTGTGAGTCCCCAGTTTGATGAGGTCATCTACCTGCTGCTACTTGGAAGCCTCACCCGAGGGGACACCCTGCTCTGCCCAGGACTCTCTACTGGGGACTCCATCTCTGCCTCAGTAGGGATTCCTCAGTTGGCTTTTGCTGGATGTTTTGAGCATCTGATTTGATGGTGTTTTGTCATCTATGTATCATCTACGTACATACGTATTATCTATCATGTATGTACGTACGTATTATCTATCATGCATGTATGTACGTATTATCTATCATGTATGTACGTACGTATTATCTGTCATCTATGTACATATGTATTATCTATCATCTATGTATGTATCCATGTAACTATCATCTATGTTTATATCTATCAATAATCTATCATCTATGTATGTATGCAACTGTCATCTATGTATCTATTTACCATTTATCTATCGATATATGTATGTATGTATCTATCATCTATGTATCTATCTGCCATCCATCTACCTATCTTCTATCGCTCTATGTACTTAAGTATATATGTATGTATCTATCCATCCATCTATGTATGTATCTATCTATGTAAGGAGGGAGTGGGTGGTAGAAAGTAAGAACATACTAAGTGATGAGTATGTCCACCTAACCTACTTTGTGTATCTAGAAGACAGCCAGATATTTCTGGGAATATTGTCCTTCTGGGAATAGTAGTGAAAGATCAAAAAAATGTGTTATTTCCCATCGAATATTCTTAGGACCAGGGGAATGGCTGAGTGGGTAAGAGTTCTTGCTTGCTGTGGAAACATGAGAACTGAGTTTGGATCCCACACCTACGTAAAAAGCCAGGTTGTAACCTCTGCCCTGTTTGTGTTGGGGATGAAGACAGGAGGATCGCTAGGGCTTGGTGGCCTTCAGGCTTGCTTCAGGTTCAGTGAGAGACAGTGTCTCAAAGGAATGAGGTGCTAGAGTAAGCACGGATGTCCTCCTGCAAGCGTCTGTACACTTGCACACATGCACACATGCACATGCACTTGGACATACACTTGTGTGCATTACCACACACATACACTATACTCACACACACTCTTCCTTTTATTATGTTATCTATCCATCCATCTATGTATGTATCTATCTATGTAAGCATATACGTATCCACCCATCTATGTATGTATGTATCTATCCATGTATGTTATCTATCCATCTG